TGCCGCATCCTCTCGGTGTACACATGGCAACACAGACTGCGATTATGATGGAAAGGTAGTCAAAAATGCTGGTATTTTTATGTTATTGTTATTACTTTATCTTTTTATTTTCAGGATTCGGAGTTGTCGAACTGGGAGCGTACGTTTTTCCACGATCTCAACAAGGATGTACTTTTTATGGTGCTGAATACTGCTAATTATATGGGGATTTCTGGCCTCGTTGGCGCAGGATCAAGTTACATAGCGGAAATGATTTCGGTATTGATCCTCACGTTTTTTTTGTGGGAGTGCTTCCTTTCTAAGGACTTTTCGGATCCACCCTTACGGATATACAGTCGCGGTAAGAAAAAAAAACTTGGAACGAGCCCAAGTCGCGCTTTTCTCAGTAGCTTTACCTAAAAGCTTTAAACTGTACATGGAAACGTTTTTGCTCAGGTCAAGTGCTTCTAAAAAAGCTACTCTAAAGAAGAGAGTTGATTGACTGAATTTGTTGCAGGGACAGAATTTTGAAGATTACCCTTGAGGAAGGGGCGGGACCAAAGTAGGAGTCGACTTTTTTATCTTCTCAGGCGAGTCTACTACTAATTAGCTTTCCCCGCAGGCACGAAAAACTCGGTTGGTTCAGGCGGGAGCCGATCCGGGCTTTGAACCCCAGACCACGCTTGTGGTAAGTGGCGCCACTTGCCACTACACTATCTCCGCTTAACCAAAATTTTAATATTATTGTATTATAACATTATATTCTTAGCTTCTGACCCTAATACTGGTGTATGAGACTAGATAGTCAGAACAGATGAAAATGCCTTTTCAAAGCTTGTTCCAAATTTTTTCCGCGACTGTAGCTCGAGAAAAGTCGAGCTCAAGTTTCGAAAAAAACGGGCAATGAAGGCTAAATGGTGTCAGAGTTTTCGACTCAAATAATTTGGGCGCTCATCTACTTGGGCTGTTGAAGGTACGCTGCCCAGGTGACTGCAGATGACCCTGGGCTTGTGCATAAGGATCAGACTCGAGCCGTAAAAGTTCGCCTTGTTCGTCACTCGAAACTGCGTGGAAATGAAGCTAGTTGGAGTGATAGCTGGATGCCCTGTCGGGCTCCAACCGCTGTTTCCGAAGCGTGGCTTCTGCGTCATGCCGAGGTCCAGCTCGGAGCAGCACAGCATGAAGCTCGACAGGTTGCCTGAAACGGTCAAATAGTAGAGAACAAACAGGCTTGGCTATAGTTCTGCATATTCTTCTTCGCGCGGCACGTTGCAGGCCTGTGGGTGAAGTCCCAAATGGCATCTGGCCATCACTACCCTCCAGCCTCATTTCGGTCCGATTTATGCGACGAAAATGGTGCACTTCTACTGCTGCAGACCATTCACCTTGCACCTGGCAAGGATCAGGATCCTCGAAGGTGCTAGCTTAGCGTAGCATCAATATATAGTCATGATCCTTGCAAGCTAGTAGGGCGTACAGAGGGGCGTGGACTAGAGCGCAGTTAGAGGAGCCTTTCCCACCAGTCGTTGCGCTGTCAGCATGATGTCATTGGTGGAGATAAGCCGCCCTGGCGCGCTCCAACCCATGCCGCGCCACAAGTCGTATCGTTCGCACGGATCGTGACTGTACCTCAGGTCAATGAATGTTATACTGTATGTTCAGGGTATGACGTTAGAAGAAACAAGAGCATATCTGAATGTACCTCCGAATGAGGATAACGAGGATGAGCAACTCCGGAAGAAATATCCTTGGCTCCTTCTCTAGTCAATGTCACTGGCTAAAAAGTGGAGGACGTAAAAGTTGATAGCTGTTGTTGCGATATGCTCACTCTGTAAATTCTTATTACCTCCAGTCAATTCCATAAACTTGTGTACTAACATTCTGCATTAGTTTTTGTATCGTAATCCTGTGTCGAATAACCGGT